TAGGGGAAAAAGGGCTGAAAAAAGGAATTGAGGTGGATTAAGTACATGTACCAACTTCTCACAAAAATGTAAACATTATGTACTGCAAACATGTGCTAATAAAAAGGAAAATAAATATTACTGAAACAAGTCACTATTTGATCTACAAATTTTGATTGCTTCAGATGGATAGTCACATTATACATGTTATATTTTTATTCTGCTATGGTTCACTTCAATGATTTCAGAATTTTGTTCACAAATAAAATGATAGTAATCATGGCATCTACTGATGGATTCACTATTCTACCACTTTACTATCACATAAGTATTTCTTGATATCAGACATAATTTACCTCTTCATAGAAACTTAATTTTCACGGGTATTCTGAACAAAACCCATAGGTCAGTGATGGCAATCCTGTGCCCAGACTGGAACCCAAGACCCACTTACTTATCACAAAGTGCCAACACTGCAGTTAAACCCAAACAATGAGATTTTAGTTCAGAATACACATCTCATATAATCTGTGACATCATTGCAGAGTGAGCTCTGCATGCCCGCTGTGGCACACATGCCATAGGTTCACCATCGAGGCTACAGGTCATACTACAGATAACTTCTTGAGAAGCATCTCTTATCACAAAAATACTAATCATAGTTGAACTTCAGGAAAAAAAATAAACAATCATAACAAATGACTTTGAAATAATGAAGGCCTGGAACACTACAGATTTTAGCCATTTTATTATTTTTACTGTAACTTATGACAATTTAAATGTTTTTCTTAATGCAAATGCACTACCTTATCTCTCTATTGTAACAATGAGAAACTTTAAAAAGCAAGGAAATATCCAACTTCATAGAAAGTATTTGCTGTATAATAATCTCTTGTAATAATTTGATCCAGGAATATATATAATTTTAAAACAATATAATTTAAAAATAATATAATTTAATTTACTTGCCATTTAACAAGTCACTAGAGGAAGCTAAAATATACTTACATTTGTTAAGGACTTAGTGATATTTTTAGTATTTATCTGCAGGATGTTTCCAATAATTGGGAGAGGAGTAGGGCCAGGAGGGAGCTTCCCTCTCCCAGAGCTCTGTCTCCAGAGTGAAAGGAGAAGCAGACAGGAGAGGCCAAGCACCAGGACCACCACTGCATCCATTGAAGCTTCTGTTCATACTGAGTCAAATGTAATCCAAGGCTTTTATATGCTCACTGTTACTGTACTGTGTCCTTTAGTCATTTAAAGGATGAATCACCCAGAATGAACTACAGTCATTTCTTAGACTGTACTTTGGCCACTTGATAAAGAAAATGTGTTCTTTACTCTTGCTATCCCTGCCAAATCCTTATCATTGTCGTTCTGGCTCAGTCATTCTGGATAAATATAGAAACTATTCATTAAAAATACAAGTAATTAACTGTCATGGTCCACATGGTTCTAGATGGTCCTGGGGAAAAATGGAGAGGGATGAAGAAAATAAGAGAAGAGACAAAGCTGAGGCCAGGTGGAGGTCCTCTCTCTCCTCATGGGAGGAGAAGAATTTAACAACAATGGTAGGGGTGTATGTTTATAATTTTAACAGGGTTAAAATTATAAATATCCAGGGACACAGGGTTGTCTAGTGACTAATGACTGAAATTCTCTCAGGCAGTGTGCTTTTCTCAGGACCAAAATATTTCTAGCCTCATCAGCTCCCTACAGTAAACTGCAGTGGTACCAATGCACAGCTAAGATTGAGAAACAATAAATAAAATTATTAAATTTATTTATGGTTTTGTCTCACTATGTAGTTACAGCTGGCCTTGAAAGGACTATGTAGTCCAGGCTGTCCTCAAACTTGCAGTGATCCTCCTGGATCAGCCACTTGAGGGCTGAGATTGCAAGCATTACCCAGCACACTAGGCTAAAAGTAATTTGATTTACAACATTGGTTAATATTATGGATTCTCACAGAAATGACTAGTGGATATCCAGGACCTTTGGGGAATCAATATATTCCAAGATTTGCATATAATATATTTAACTTGTATTACTTAATCAAGCACTAGGGTAGCTTGTCTTGGAAAATAGCAATGTTCTAAGTATTTGAAAGGACCAAAGCAATATAACTATCAGGATATAAAGTAGCCAGCATTTGTTCTACATTTTGAGAACCAATCTTAATTAACTAACAAAATGAATACACATAATTTCCATAGTTAAAACACTGACTGAAGGAAGAAAACTAATTTTTATTTGTTAAATGGGGAAATAGGACATGAAGGGAGAACAGGAAAATGTGTCACACAGACCATGAATGATAACACTTGGATTAGAACGAACTTTACTGGAGCTCTTTGTAGTAAATGGTAGCTGACACCACATGTCTCTCAAAAGTCATGTTAACAAATAAAATAAAATAAAATCCAAAAACATTTAATCTGAATGTATACCTCATTGATTCTGTTCATAAGGTATCAGCCTTCCTATTAAATTAATATCATTATTTCATCCCAAGGACATCTGTCCTGTAGATTCTCCAAAACAAAGATACACAGATAAAGTTTTTACCTCTTCATCAGCAAGAGGCAAAATGTGTTCATCAGAACCAAGGAAAGAGCCTAACTCAAAGAACTAAATGGGTAGGGCTTGAGAAACTTGGCTCCCCCATCTCCTAGCTGCTTCCAGATAAGTCTGCTTCTCTTGCTTTCTAGGACGTCCTTGTGAGAAATAACAGAATGAAGTATTGGACCATAATGGAACAAGATCAGTGACAGAATAATGGACATGTGCTTTGAAAGTGGATGGGAACCCAGGAGTACATTAAAGAGACTCCTCGCTCAGAAAGACACAATATGAAAAACTTTTTGGGAGACCATGTTTTGGTACACATATACCTATGTGTCATTGGGTTGATGTGCACTACTAGATCACTAATACTAATGCTTGTACAATGATGTGTCTTGTCAAAATCTCATTGTACTTCTTTTAAATTTGTGAGCTTAGGTATTAATAAGCTGTTTTCACATTGAAAATGTATTTGTTGTCAAGATCCCAGATATATAAACTTTACATCTCACTTTTATTAAGATTCTGTACATTAACAAATAATTTTCACACTTATCATAACACTTTTGTCACTGTCCATTACCACTGACTAAAGTAAATCTATTCCATTTTTTTATGAAAAGCTGTGTCTGAGAGATCCAGTGCCTTAAGTATGCTCCAAACATTCAGTACATATTTTTACTCCGAAGCTTCAGTACATAGTGGTTACTAAAGTTGGGGCCATATACCAGACAAGGAACTTGAGATTCAGTGCATTTTCTACATACCCATTACCAACTTTGATCTGGTTAATATCAAAGACCTATGGCATAGCTCCCCTGATTTCTGACAGCTGCTTTGCCAGAGTGTTTGCACTGGGGACCAGACTCAGGATCCATACAGCTTGGTCTATTATTTATTATATGAGACTGGCCAGGGACTCAGACCCAAGCCATGGTGCCTAAATATTTGAAACCTCAGCCATACTTTCTTCCTTCACACCTTTGCACCTGCCAAGCCCAGAAATCTGCTTGACTTGGTTTCAGCCCTGCTGCTGGGCAGAGCTGGCTCTGTACTTTGTCCTTCATTAGCAAGGCCCACACCCAAGCTCTTGGGGTCAGAGACCAATAAGAGAGCTGAGATGAAAAGCCCCAAAAAGGCATTTTGAAGAGAAGTGATATTGGGATAGGACCTTCTTGCTAATGAACAGTTTGGAGATCCCAGAGGTTACCAGGCCCTCTGGTAAGTGGAACAGAGGTGAGGAACTGAGCACCTTCAGGGAGTCCAGGCCCCCCCAGAGCTCCCCCCCCCCACATAACCAGAGAGCACAAGACATGGACAGGCCCAATCCTACCAGACTCTTTACTCCATAGCTTGCCCTGTGCACTGAATCACTACACAGCTCACATTTTAAAATTCAACTATTTATTAATAATATAAGTACAGTAATTTTCATCTCTCTTTTATATGCTGGTACATAGAAATATTAACAGAGAAAAGTATGTTTCTATTTTAAGTGTCTTTGTGGATTGAACTGCTCCCAGATTACGTTGTTTAAAAAAAGAGTGAAAGGACTCATCAAAGAAATGATCTACTTGTATTTTCTAGATACTATAGTATTATGGGAGTAACTTAAGTGATCTCTATTTTCTGGATTGATCCTGACATTTACATTACTATCAAGAAGACAGAAAGTAAAACTACTTGCAAAAGAGGAGATTTGTACAATATGTATATTTATTTCAATGATAATTGAAGGGAAAAAAAGGAATCCCAGTGACCTAAAAGTCTTCCAGCGTTTTGAGGTTTTTTTTAATAGCTAGTGCATTTTCAGAATGGGGGTACCCAAGGGGAGGAAAGCCATGAAAAGGGAGAAAAGATGGAAATGTACCCATTGACAAGAAACTCACATGGAGGGATGCCTCTGATGTCCCAGAGGATGAAGCAATAGAGGACAGCATCTTGCCAAGAACTCCCCCGTAGGCCCACAGGAAACCTGGGTGGGGGCTGGGAATGGAGTTGAATGAGGAAATCAACCTAGCAACAAGGGGCAGGCACTGAAGAGAGGGACAAGACCATCATGTCTCAGAAAAAACAGCACCCCATGCACAGAGATTGGTAAACAAATGCTCACCCCCCCCCTCCACTGGAACTGTAAGATGCCTAAAGTGTCTTTTCTAGAAGCTCAGGTTTAATCACAGGTTGGATTTTTTCTTAGTCTTCGACCCTCAACTTTCTCTTAGATGACGTCTCCTACATGACAAGGCTTGTTCAGGTAATTCTCTCCCAAACTGCCTCTGACTTTACTTCCAGGACGGAACCTGTTGACGTGAAGAATAATGGTTTTTTCTCAGCTGTCCTTCTTGATATTTGAAGCACTTTCTGTAGTCTCCAGCTTTTCATTGTCACAGCTTTTTGGGTCACTGGAATCACAGTCACCCTCCTTTTGCTGGAAGTCATAATGTATCTTGGCACCCGGGACACCTCCCTTCTGTTGGTGATGCTCAGTCACTGGTCACTCTATTCCTCCTTCCTCAACATGGTGGACTGGCTATTTAATGGAAGATATCTCATACTGAACCTCTTTATGATGACCTTTTTCTTCTTCAGACATAGTTGTGTAGAATACATTTTTGTTGCTATTTTGAATATTTAAATGCATCCTTGACTTTTCAGTCTCTCTCTGTAAAAGGGTCCTTTGCTAGGGTGTCAACATTTCTCCATTCCCTGACTCCGTGTTACCAAACAGTTTCTCATTTTCCAGGTTGGCTACCAGGCCTTTGCCAGTGTCGTTCACAAAAGACCACACTCTCCCCCAAGGCCCTAGAGTTCCCTGGAGAACATCACTCCTTTTCAGTTTCCCATAATATTTTTAACTGTGGTTTAGCTTCTTTTGTTTTGATGAATTTGGTTTCATCTTGCAGAGCCTCAATCTTTTATTCTTGAACGACAACAAAACCCCTCATTCTGAATCTTGAGGATTTTCTTTTT